ACAGTATTTACTGGAAAATGTATGAGAAGTTGCCTAAGTCTAATAAGTTTTCATTGAAGAAACCATTTATAATAGCGTGAAGTTAAAATGTATAAAAAGGATCGCTACTTATATTTTCATTTTTGTTCTAAAGAAAACATAGAATGAATGATTAAAACTGGTTTCCGATCAGTAAGTCACAAAATTGCATACCAGCCAAATATTATAATCAACGGCAGAAATCTTGAAATCTAGTCCTTGCTGAATGAACATTTAAGAATAAAGGGATATTAAAGAACATCGTAAAATGATAATTTATTGTTTATTTAAAAACTTTCTAGTTTCTGATGTCTACTATTTCCAGCATTAGTTATTATCACAAAAATAAAGGTAATTTTTCTTCTTATTGTACACCTATCCATTTATTTCTTTGATTTAATTTCCACTTTGTTAGTGAAATTTGTTATATAAGTTTCACTGTTTTTTTTTGCTAGTATTTGTACAATTTTCAACACAGCAACTCCGGTTGCTTATTGTGTTGTTTTTACCTACTTTTTTGAAAAAAAGTAAAATGTATACGTGTATTTGATATGCCAAAATTACAAAATATCCCCCTAAAATGCACGAATTATCCGCAGCTAGCACTAGTATCGCTTTTGCTTCCCTTTCCATGACTTCGCACGGAGCGAATACAAGTTAATAAAATTACAACAGCCAGTCGTCGACTAGAATTAGAAGATATGGTTGTTGGATATTAGCCGAACCGAATGTGAGGCACTCCAATAAACACAGTTAATCGGTACCAAAACTGGGCTGAAGGAGACTTGCCGGACTCGGCCCAATATACGGGTTCAGCTTCGGCATGTCCGCCCAGCCGAATGTCGGCAGCCCACTACATTGTAGCCGCGTTCATATATCTATATATAGTTCGGCCCGGAAGGATGCCTCCCATGCCCAAATATTCACCGCGTTCAGCCCGTAAGGATACCTCTCTTGTTTGGAAAGCGAAATATGGACCATATGCGGTTTCTACTTCTAAATTACGTCAAATGGTACGGTACGGTAGCGAATGCCGACTATTTGTATTTGTGGTTTAAAAAGCTAGAGAGCATAGCGATAGCGGGGATATCGTAGTTGCCACATGTTCGCTGTGAAAGCATGACTGTGCCTAATACAAAATAATAGGTACTGTATGTATATAAATTAGTTATTCTTTGTACTTGGAGGCTGTAGCCCTACAGCCCTTATATACAAACCGCCACTGTTAGCAATGAAATAATATAAATAATTATGCTTCATAATACGTTATATAATAAAGGCTATGCTTAAATATGACTTTCTCGAGTCTACCACAAGGCATATTTATTTTGGTACCTGGAAAATAAAATTCAATAAATACTGACAAAATATAATTTATAAAGAAGGAAATATAATACCAGTAAAATATAAGTATCCAAATCACTGGAATGTTTTTTATATATAACAAAATAAAAAAGAATTGTATTGCCACACTTATTAATAGTAAATATTGCAATAGATTGCTTACAAGCTAACAAAAAAAAAAAAAAAACAATATTAATGCCATTTTTTTACCGACCATTTTTTATCGTTTTATTATCTATTTATATTTACTTGACGTTCATTAAAATTTAGGAGCATGATAAACTTTGACAGAGCTTGGGAATACGATATCAGAATGAAATTTACTTTAAATTATTCACCGTCTAAATATCAGGCTAGTAGATTTGAATGATTGTTCTTGCAACCTGCTGTAACTAGTGTCGCCACCTTAGATAGGGTTGCCAGATTTACGAAATGGAAATTTCTAAAAACCAGGTCTTTCTGGCGAGCTAAAAAAAGGTCATCATTTTATATTTTTAATAAACCCCAGGTCCTTTTGCCGAGCTTCTAAAAAAGGACAGGTGGCAACCCTAGCTGTAACTAATGAATTGGTGAAATAAGTTCGTATTTCAAAAAGTTCGAAAATCAAAAATATGATGGACAAAAGTTTGAAACTACAAAAGTTCGAAAGTGAAAAAAGATCGAAATCCCATATGATTGAAATTACAAATGATCAAAATCAGATACGATTGAAATCCCATATGTTTGTAAGTACTAATGATCAAAATGCTATAAACTCGAAATCATTATATTACGAAATTAGTAAATTAGTTGTATTTTTAAGTTTTTTCGTTTTAAGTATATTTTTTGCGAAGCAATCCACAGGTTATTTAAATTGATTAAGTTTTATTTTTCTTCGTAATTTATGTATATTTTTCTGCGAAGCACTCCTCGATGACCCCAGGCCCCACAGATTAGGTAAATTTTTTTTTTATTATTAAAATACTAGGAAAATATTTATATTTTCTTTAATATATTTGACATTTAGTTTCAATCATCCGAGTTCATGTGATAATACTATATGGTACTGAGTGCATGCCCGTTCCATTTTTTAGTGTTAAAATTGTTATTTTTAAGCTACCACTTTTGAAAACAGTCTTATACCATTTTGATCATTAGTAGTTTTAAACATTTGTACTATCGATCATATCTGATTTCAATCATTCTTGTTTTAATTTCGATCTTTTCTCATTCTTGAAGTTTTGTCATTTGGATTGTTATAGTTCAAACTATTGTTTTTGAAATTTTGTTATTTCAAGATTTTCTAATTCGAACTTATTTCATCAACACATCTGCAGCTAATGGCATCAAAAAAATGTTTGTCTAGTGTAAATAATACATTTATATGCATTATTTTTGTCAAAAATATATAAAAAATATATTTTAAAACAAAAAAATTGTATTGATAGAAAAAATGATTGGCAAACTTTTGGCATAAAACAATATAAGTTTGGCACGTCGAAGTATGAATATGGGAAAAATTATTTGAGCAAAATCGTTTCAACTTGAGCTACCTTTTGAAATTAAGGCAACATTCTGAATTCTAATGAAAAAATGAGTTTTAGTTAAACCTTAATCTAGTGTTAATAATGTCAACTCAACTACTATAGTTGATTTTTCTTATGTAAAAATAATTGGATAACAATCAATACTTTTGTTACCATAACATTCTTAAAAAAAAGGTATGTCATAAATTGAACATTTTAAGATAAATGCAAGAATTCTTTAGCATATGAACGTTGAAGATGAATATTGTGAAAATAAATATCAGTGTTTAAAAGTAAAATACATTTTTTCCTAAGATGCTATTTAAAACTATAGATTGTTATTGAATGAAATGTTTGTACCATTTATTTGAACTATTTTTTAAACTGTTCACTGTTCATTTTCCCTATTCTCCTTTCCAACAAATGCATTAAGTAAATAACGAACAATTATAGCTTAAAAGCCTACTGCAAATTTCGGTCGTCATCTTATAATGAAATGAAATATGCCTCGAAGGCATGTAAAAACAATGTTATTTTACCAAACGACACCTGAGCCAAATTGTTAAAACAATGCCACTTCCAGGGCCATATTTAGAAAGAAACATCGCGAATTGATAACGAGATAAAAGTTATGCCATCGTATACCCATTGTTTAATAGAACTCCAAAAAAGTACCTTTGCCAAATGCTGGACACAGCCTTTCTTTGCAGTCAAAAGTCTCGATAAACTTTCGTCACGCGACAAAACAATATGCAATCGAAAGAGCGCTATGTCCCATTCGCAAAATATCCTCATGTGCCGCGATAGATAGTTTATTTGATGTATACAAAAAATCACAAGACATGACTGCGATAATTGTTTGTCTTGAAAATTACAATCCTAATTAATTGTGAACCTACCTTTTGAACCTCTTAAATGATCCTTGATTTGTATCCTAATTTTAATACAGGTTTATTATTTACCATAATAATTTGAAAGATATTTATTTAGGTTTATTTTATTACTATTTATATCCCTTGAAACAAGTAAACTTTTGACTGAATCACTTTATTTTGTTTCTTATATCAGGCCTCGCCTAAATAATTTTGAACAGAAATTTTCATAAATAATTGAATTTTATTCACTTTGCTCAGGATAGTGATTGGCACAGGTGTGATGAAGGTGGGTGGAGTTTTCCGGGTATTCTTCACATGTAAGTCAAATGCCACCATCAATCATCTTTAAATCGCCCGAAGCGCCACGACAAATAATAATAATAATAATAATGATAATTTCTGTCCCTTCCCCTAGACAAGTCACTTAGTCGGCTTCAGGGGTTGAAATTCACTTATAAGGAGGTGAATTAGGGAGAGTATTATTATAATATTATTATTTGGTAAAGTACAATTTTTTTAAATGCCTTCGGGGCATATTTTTTTCGTTATCAGATGACGGGCGAAATTTGCAGTGGGCTCTGCTACTATTATGCTTAAAACTAAATCATAGGAGTATATAAAAAAATGGTAAATTAAAAATTGGAACTTTTAAATATCTAACACTACAAGTAAACACTAAAATTATATCTGATGGCAATTTCAAATCTTAATTTTGTATAAAAATTAAGTATGAATCAGCCACCCAATATCACCAAGCCAGCTTTGTTATATGTTCTTATTTTCTTTTATATTTAATGGAAATTTCAAAAAATACTTTTTAAAACATAACAATACTTTACTTACGTAAAGTAACTATATTTTTATAAATTGTAAACAATTAACAAGTGCAAAAATACGGGGGTATTTCAGAGACTGTAGTGAAATAAACATACACAGTCAGAAGCAGCAGCAATATTTTTAATTTTCTTTGTCTTATCACGAAAGATGAAACCCCTCAAAAACAGAGTACCATATGTTAAAATGGCCGCTCAAAATTATCACTCAATTTTTTAACAATGGTTTAAAAATACTAAATAAAAATGAAAACAAAAAAAAAAGAACATTTATCTAACACTATACATACATTCCAAAGTCCAATTTTTTATATACTTAACAGACACTAATCGTATTGTAAATGTATAAAAATAAAGGTAAGTAAAGAAAATTCATCAACTATAAATAATTTTCATGTATAGACTGTATATAGTAAAATATACAACTACTCACTGCTTTCCTCTGTAACAAAAAAAAAATATAAGAATTTTTCTAATCCATTTAAGTGGGATTTCCCTTGATAATGGCCGTAACTTTATATAAATTAATAATTTTTGTTCAATGGCCTTTTAATGAGGGATACTCAAATGTAAATTAATATTTGATTGATAGTTTGGAGAAAAACAGAAATCATATCAACCATCAGGTTATATTGAATATTTTCAACTATTTTAGACAACAAAATTCCTCAAATAGTGGTGACAATGTAGTTGAAATTGTATGTAAAGTAATGAATAAGCAAAATCTATAGAATTTTAAAGGAGAAAAGTCAGGTGGTGTAACCTCATCAAAACCAAGAAGACTAGTAAAAGTAAATGTGGGAATTGGCAAGAATGTATTGATAAAATATATATAATTTTTTCGTTTCATTCGTTTTTGAAGGTCCCGCACGCATCAAAGTAGGAGATGGATGAAGTGTATTGGTAGGACAGCAAAGAAGGCTCATCTTTCTGTTACTGCTATGGGATCACTAATGTTTATGTAGAATAGTGACGAACCGAGGGTACCCCAGTTATTTAATTAATACATATATTGTATAAAATAATCTATAAACAACAAGAACGTCACAGAGAATATTGATCACATTGTATATTATTGTATATTTACCATATGTGGTTTCAAATTAATTAGCAAGTCTTGTATATCCGTTTTAAATAACTTCATATTTGACAACCTTTTTAATACATTAGGCAGTTTATTGTATAATTTTACACAACTGTACATGTTCTGTAACTGTCAGATGATGTATTGAATATACTAGGTTTATATTTCTTAACATATAAACATTCTTTGGTTCGTATTTTGAAAATAAATCCCTATTTTTAAAGAAAAAATTAAGCTTTCCTGAATGAATATGCCTATTACAGTTAAAATTTTATTTTTGTAGCGATCATATCGTTGTGCAGGCTTAATCAGTGTTTCACGCCACAGATAAAATTGGGCTGATTTAACCACCCATTACTATTCGTGGACTGTATTAATAAAAAAAAAAATTGAATATCTGTGCGATCCATAACGTCTTGGAGATGTAGATACTTAGATTCAAAGGCCACCTCTTACTAAACACATTTTATTTTAACACCAAATAAAAATCAGTTTAATTTAACACTAGGACATTGTTGACAACTAAACTACTTTTTACATTATTGACAATTACATTATTTCTCGGAAATGTATTACTTAAGCAGAGTTAATTTACATTTTATGAAATGGCGGACACAGAGTCCCTTTTTACCACTAGAAACGCATGTTGTTCATTTGACTGGTTATCAAGCAGTGAGTGGAGAGTGGAGATGATGAGCTGGCCAAGCTTGAGGCTGACGTAATAATTTTTAACCAATGAGGAGTGGCTGACGTGCATGACGTATTTATCTGTTAGAGAACTTCCTTACCGACTGAAATAGTACAAGCTACAGGGACGGTTGGAGGAGTTAATATTCTTCGGGAATCAGTAATGCTGAATATACGGAGTGGCCCAAAAGTATGGAAACGGCCAATTATCTCGTAAATTGCTAGTCCTAATTGTACAAAATTTGGGGTACACCTATTTTGGGATACGGAGATTCCAGATTTGATATTTGCAATGTTGACAGATTTTCCGTTTCTCTTATATTATTAGTCACTTTGGTTTTTCAAATTGATCACCCTGTATATTAAGTCATTATTGGAATCTCCTATTCAATACGAGTTCAACCATATGCAATACTTATGATTTTATGTAGTCTGGAAGGTCTTAAATAAATAAAACAATCATGGAGAAATGTGGTAAATGCACTCTATCATCGATTAGGGTACTGTCAACTCACAAATGAAGCACACTTGATGAAGTTACTTCATTATGTTAAAAATGGTGTAATCTTTCAATTGTTACGTTTTAATGTAGTTGAAAATAGTTTGTATTAAAAAATTTATGAGACAATAAGGCGTTGCCAGACTTCTATTTTATTTATTTAAGACCTTCTAGACTACATAAAATCATAAGTGTTACATATGGTTGAACTCGAATTGAATAGGAGATTTCAATAATGACTTAATATACAGGGTGATCAATTTGAAAAAAATAATATAAGAGAAACGGAAAATCTGGCAACATTGCAAATATCAAATCTGGAATCTCCTTATCCCCAAATAGGTGTACCCCAAATTTTGTACAATTAGGACTAGCAATTTACGAGATAATTGGCCGTTTCCAGACTTTTGGGCCACTCTGTATATTGAACGTAATGTTAAATGTATTTCAACAATTTTCTCTAAATTTATCTCTTAAATTTAGCATAAGCTGCAACATTCTTTTTTTGAATTAAATAAAATTCAATATAGCTAGTAGCACATTGAATTTTGTCCCATATCCAATTCTGGATTCAAAATATGCAAAATACAACCATTTTTAAATTATCCCATTCCAAATATTTCTTCACAACTCTGGTATTATAACAGATCTGGTTTAGTTTTTTACATACATGATCCACATGGTTTTCCCAATATATAGCCCCCAGAAACTTGGTACTAGTCGAGACTTCAATGTACATTTATTTAGTTCAATATTTTGGCATTTCATCTATATTGGCTTTAAAAAATACATTTGTTTTGTTCTCAAAGTATTTTAATTATTTTTTTTTAAACCATTTTTTGCATTAGTTCTCTCTCTCTCTCTCTCTGAATGTCTGGTTAATTCCATCGTATCAGATGCATTTACTATGTTCGTGCCATCAACATAATTGGTTAACATACATTTGTCATCCTCTAACATAACACTGTTTAGTTCATTTACATAAATGGTAAAGAGCAGTGGACCTTTCTCATTATTTTTATATATTTCGACAAACTGTTTCCTATCTTTAAGATATGATTTGAATCACCCTAATGCAGGACACCTAATGCCATATGCGGACATGATGCACAAAAACAAAAATTGCCATTTGGGGTAGATTTTCTTTGCTGTTGACTTTTGTTTAATAAGTTACAGGTCACAAAAAAATTCTGATACCCTTTTACACATTGCTACCTCAAATTTCCATTCTTCATCTAGATGAAACAGTGTCCTCTTGCAGGTTGCTCCAAGTGTATACCACCTGGTTGCTTATACAGTTACTTTACTTTGAACTTTTTTTAACATTTTTATATTTTTAACAAAATATGGGTTTCAAACTGGCACTGCCAATAATTCTATTTCTGGCCTAATATAAGTTTTGTATAAATTTGGTAATAATTTCCTTTAAATGGCATTTGAATGCAATTGTAACTAGATATATCATCGTGTTGGCCTTTTTTTGCAATTGTGGAAACCTGAGTTTCCAATTCTAAGTCTAAATATATAAAAACACCAAGATATTTTTGGACTGTAACTGTTAGAAGTCTTTCTCCATTGATGTAATATGTTATATAAATTGTTTAGAGCTATGTGAAGTACTGTGCATTTATTATAATTCAAGGGGAGCATCCACTTGGCTGACGATCTCCAAATTGTTTCAAAATCTCTTTGTAAGACTTATCTACTTTAATTTGGATAGCAATACATTTTTGTATCATCTGCATAGAATGTTACATGGGTGTTTATATTAGCCAGATTACTAGTGTATAGAAGGAATAACGGTCCCAACACAGAACCCTGTTGTATTCCACTGATAACAGGATGATTTTCTTGATACTTGACCATTAACTCTCGACACAAAATTGCCAATTCATTAAAAAGCTCTCAATCGAATTAAGTAAATTTCCTCTAACTCACAGATGTTTTAATTTTAAAAGTAGACTCTTCTGTGACAATTTATTAAATGCTTTTACATAGTCTAGGTATGTAACATTTGTAGGTTCACCAAGAAGTGGTTCGATGTTCTACAGGGTTCTTAAGGTTTAAAGGACACACACTGATTGTACAATTATTATATTGAGCTGAATAGGTACAATGAAAATATTAAATTTGCAAACAAAAACGAAATCTTAACTGTGTCTGTCAAGCTGAACGTTGTACCTTCCTACTTCGCTAATATTCATGCAATATGGTTAACTGAAGAATAAGCAAGAATTTTTCGTAATCTGATTTGACTAATTCCATAAATTCCACGAATAATTGAAGAAATAATAATAATGTAAAAAATATTATATTTGTTATATATAATTAAAATTGAGACTGTCAGCTTTGGTTGTTTTCCGCGCACCACACGTCTCTACCGCGCACATACCCTCGCGTCACTCTCACATAGGCACGCTTTCAAGCCGGACCACCACAATTATTATCATGCCAAGTTGTCCACTGATTCAACAATAACAAGTTAGTTACTACTGATCATTTAAGTGGAAAACCATGTTGTGATGAGGGAATTAATTTATTATTAAAACAAAACTCGGTGATCTCTCTGGTTATTTATAATACTTTGTTTCTGTAATTCACTTGCTTCTAATTAAACTGCTGCACTAATTGCAAAAAAATTGAATGTTTGTATATTGTTTACTATCTACAAATTATACCTAATTATGTAAAAATGACTGACCCATATATAATATAGTCGAAAAAAAGAATATTATTTTGTTTTATACTTACTGATCATGGCAGTGATTTTGTTGAATGCTCGTTTATAATGTTCTGCTTCAGCGTCGTTTTCATGACGCAATATTTCCCCAGAATATAAATCCTGGACATATTTCAGAATTTGGTCCTTATTGTGTTTTCCAATTACTGGAATCTAAAAAATATTCTTTTATTAAAAGCTAAAACACCAATTCTGAATATGTTACCTTTAGGATAGTTTCCTGTAAATCATTAGGGGCTACAGGTACTCTTTTTCCACCAGTTTTATCCATCTTTCGCTTCTTGCCCTGCGGTGGCTTGCCAGAATTGTCCTTTTCATCTTTTTCCTTGTCCCTTTTTGGACAGGAACAAACTCTTACATTCAACGCTTTGCGTCCAAGTGTCTCGCCACTGCAAAATATTGTAATGTGAGCCATTTCATTATTCAGTCATGCTCTAATCCTCCAAGTGCCTCTCTGTCTTATTTGGCCTTTGAGGCTCAACTTGTCCGATTATTATACATAATTAACCCCTTTAAGACCAAACATATGTGATAACTATGGCGGAGGCACTTTCGCGAACATTCCCGAGTCATCGTAATTACTTTTCTGGTCTATTCCGGATGAGATATTTTGGTGGAGGAGCATTCTAGATCACCAATTTGTATATAAATATTGGTGGAGGACCAACAAAAAATCATTAGTAGATAGACAGTTCAAAGATATTCGAAATATAAATAAATTATAATAGTAGTGTTATAAAATAAATAAGTGTTTAAATAAATTATTAATAAATAATCTGTTGTTTAAAATAAACAAACATCACAATATTTATAACCATTACAATATGTATGTTTACAATTATTAAGTTGCTTACTTTGCATCTTCTAGAGTGAAAATAACTTCTATGGCTCTTCTGTTCATACCAGGACTCGGACAAGAGTTTTTACAAAGAAACTCAAACATTTCTCTAACATTATCAGTACCAGTTTGTGGATAAGCGAACGGTATGCATAGGCTAAGTCTTTCGCCCTGTGTTTTGTCACCTAGGTATACCGTATCTGGGTTGTTGCATTTTATCACATGAGGCTTCATGTGCAAGGGTTCTGAAAATGAAAGTTAATGTTTTTTTTTAGGATGTAATAGATTTATCTTCTCAATAAGATGTGGAATCATAGGAAATATAACTTACCATTAGGAGAACCATTAAATTCGTGGTTAGGACATCTGTATACACATTCTTGTGCGAATTGTGGCGAACTGTACGTTGTAGTAATTCGTATAAATAAATGAAATGGTGGTCTGGTAGTAACTCGAAAGTCTACTGGAAATGGGCACTTCATGTCCATATACACCTTATTTAACAATGAGGAATACTAAAAACCAAATAAAAGTCAAAAAAATGAAGCCATTTTTTTAAATAGGCATATGGAAACAAAATGCCCTATAGCGATCTGGAGATATTGTGCTTGTAGCAATTAAAAGAACTTCCTTTGCAATACATACATAGTGGTTAGTGAGACCCACTCCTCAGTACTGTATTCGTGACAATGAGAAAATTTTCTTACCCCTCACTTTTAAACACTTTTCATCTGGTCCTGTGCATTAGTATGTGCACTGAAATTATATTATAACTATATAATGAAAGCGTCAATCGACTTGCAGTTTTGACTTTACTTGATAATTTCTTCCAGCCGACAACTCTAATATTTTCAGAATTTTCGATTTACCTTTAGTGTTTTTAAAATGAAATGCATTTTTTATAGAGCTTATTTTATGCACTGCATCATGGGTATTGATTTCACTAGATAGTCATGCTTGTCAACTGTTAAACCAAAGAGATTTTTTTTCTATCTGTCATTCTTAAATGTCAAATAAAGTTTTTAAAAGTCTTTTAAAGGATTTTATTTCAGTAAGTGAAAGTGATAAGTAAAAATAATTGTTTAAAGTGATGGTTTTGGCACAGTTTATACATTGCACAACTCAGATTTGTATCCCTGGCGCATACAGAATCAAATCATAATAGCCCAAGAGCCCACTGCAAATTTTTACCATCATCTGATAACGAAATGAAATATACCCCAAAAGCACGAAAAAACATTGTACTTTACCAAACGGCATCTGTGCCAGTTCCAATCCTGAGCAGAGGTCAAAAAATATTTTATATTAAAAAAATCACAAGGCATGACAGAGCTAATTTTGATCGCCCTTAAAGTTTTCCAGAAAATAACATATTCAAATACATATATCTTGCTATATATCGTTAAAGGGAGACATTTTCTTCCTCTTAACATCGCACAAAAACATCTATCCACGATTAATAGGTAAAAATCATTAAAAATATGAATCCATTTTTGCCGATTTAAAAATTTATTTGTATGCCTATTGTTGATTTATTTTTACAGGTTGCCATAGAAATGACCTTTCACACATACACATGGTTTAAAAGGCAGGTAATAGTAGTTGTGCAACAAGAGTGGATATAGACAATCCACTCTACCCACTAACGAAAATCTACAAATTAAAAATATATATTTTAGGTTATTAAGACAAAATAACTAAAAAAAAAAAAAAAATAGTACAGTACCCAGCCGAGAATCGATCCCCGGCACTCTGTTTAGCGTCACTTTTACAATTTTGGTTTTAATATTAGTAAAGTTTCATATAGTTTGGTTTGATTAAAATTATTTTTTTTTTTTTTTCAAAATATGGTGTTAAGAAAAATGCTATTATATATGATTATTTACCGATTCTACACAAAAATAACTCATTTTAATGTATATTTAATCTCAATAATTAAGAACTATACTGACAACTAGTCTGACAGGATTGTCCATTATTTAAAATTTTAAAAATAAAAGTACTTGGGTGTCCAAAATAAGAACTGTGATTGGTGGATTTCATTTTTTTGTAGTGTTCTCACTACCTAGAATGGATATGAAATATATTCGTTTAGTTGAACGCAATGACATACTTTTTCGTTTTGTAGTCTTTGCGTAGGTAAGCTAATATCCATGTGGATGTATGAAAAAATATTAATAATTCAGGTTTAAAAGCTAGGTTCACAATGAATTAGGAATGTAATTTTCAGGGAAAACACAATTATCGCTGTCATGTCTTATAATTTTTTTTAACTACTTTGCTCAGGATAGGAATTGGCACAGGTGCAATTTGGTAAAGTACAATGTTGTTACATGCCTTTGGAGCATATTTCATTTCGTTATAAGATGATGGTCAAAATTAGCAGTGGGCTCTGTTAGTATAACCAATGCAATATGACAACAGCCTATATTCAAACAGCAGTCTTCTGCATATCCTGAATTTGTATCCCTGGAGTGAATGTTATTTTGGAACATCCAATTGGTCCGAGTGAGCTAACTGATTCTTTAGCTATAAACTGTGGTATTGGCATGAGTTTTAATGAATTCCACCATGGGAGCTCATATTTGAATTTGATAAGATCAAAAGGTAAAGAGCCAAAATATTGATTTATATACAGGCTTAAAATATTTTTACAAGAACAGGTGCAGGTGGTAAAGGGACCAAATATCTTAATATAGGTAGGCTTAAGGACAAAAGGCCCAAATATTTTTACATGGGCTGGCTTAAGAGGTAAAGGGGCTAAATATTTTAGGTGCATGCTTAAGAAGTAAAGGCCCCAAATAATTTTACACTGGCGACCAACATGCAGCTGGGCGATTTTGCAGTTCCTTTTTAGCATAAAAACAGGTAAAATATTAAAACTAAATTAATACCTTTTTGTAACCTTCAACACACAATCCAAATAGAGGAATAGAGAGTAATCTCTTATCATATACAAAGTTTAGCAAAGACAAAAAATTCCTATAATTAATTAAAATTATTAAATAGGTAAACATCACTTGGTTGAGTTTAAATTTCTTACCACCCATGAATTTTTAGAACCATTGGGACGTAGTACGTCAACCTCAAAACCAAAAGGACCATTGTACTCTTCATTGCACAGAATAGTCTTAGCTCCATTGTATTCTCCATTAGTGGGGATATTTTTAAGTATATTGAATTTATGTTCTTGTATTTCATCCATCTAAAATGCAACAATCAAAATTTTGTATCCACTTGTAATAAAAATTGAATACTATACTTTTTATACAACTCTATTTTGTAGTAACAAAATGTTTAGAAATAGGTCATAGCTATTTTATGAAACCAGTTACGAAATGCTTTAATTTATGTAACGAGTGACATAAAACAGCATTTTTTAACGTGTTACATACAATATTTTTTTCTAATTTGGACTAGATTGTTTATAAAATTGTGTTTTGGTAAAAAATTACTGACATCTAGGCAACCAATATTACTAATTTCTTGTATTGTTAGTTGTGTATGATTAACTTAATTCTTTTATTGACAAATAGAAAATAATATTCATTTATTCTAAACGACTTATTGTAGTTTGTTTATATTGCTTGTTAAAGATATTTAGATTTCAAGAAAGTGAGTTATTTTGTCATGTATTGTATTTAAACAACATTATTACTAGGTTGTAAGTTTAACCATATTCTATTTTTATAAGTAAACCTGCCCTTTTTTGATATAAACTTTTAATAATACTGTATATTATTGATTTTAAAACCAAAAAAGGTTAATTATTTGTTTTCTTTTCGCAACTGATGACATACTGAGTTTTCGAAACCAGTTTCTTAATGTTCAACATTATGAAACTGGTTGTGTAAAGTAGATTATTTTAAAACTTACTGCGATTACAAAAAATATATGTCAAAATTAGATAAATTACTTTACAACACAAGACACTAATATTTTAAAGAAATTACTTACTGATAGTGTCTCCTCATTTGATTGAAGATCAGAGAATAAGTTTAAGTCCACATTGTCTCTAAAATATATTTATTAAACATAATATATTACAGAATTAAAAAATATACTTACAAAAGGTAATTCTGATCTTCTTGACACAATAGATCAGATTGAAAAGACATGTTGAGTTCTGAAAAAAAGTTGATATATTTATCTATGTAAAGATCTTTAAAGTTGAATAAATAATTTTATTATTTTTATTGATCAACACATTATAATAGCCCATACAGCACACATTATTTCAGAAGTGTTTCAGAAATATTTCAAACATATAACATTTCAAGCACAAGTTTCTGAAATATTTTGGTTAAATATTTCACTGAAAATGTTTCTGAAACATGGTATACATGTTACACAAAAGGTTACTAAATGGGTTATGTTGTAAAAGGCCAACAATTAATGAATAATTTCTGATTTGTAAGAAGATGGGATATGTAGTTATTTTATTTCATCATGTCCCTGTCCAGCCACCAGCTAGAAACAAGCCTACATTCTAAATAATTATAGATTTGAGTTGTTGGTTTTTGATATTCATGGGTTGCGAACTTGTTATATGGGAAGCAGAATATATCTTTAAAAATTAAGGTGAGAAAACTACATAAATAATGCCTGCTTAGGTGGATCTGCATGTTTTGTTTAGACATGAGTATTGTTTTATTATATTTAATTTAAGACAATATTAATAAAACTATTGTTAATCAAATAATTTGTATAAATCCTTTTTAATTACCTATATTTTGTTTCAGATTAATGCATTTAAAGGAATTGGTGGAAATGAAGCAGTTTGCCAGCATTGAGGCTGTAAAAATAACATCCAAAAGTTATTTAACGTTTCCAGAATAAAGTATTAGGGAACATTGTCGATGCATCCTGGTACTGCCGTAATACTGAGCTTCATAGGGACCTTAAAGTGGAGAATGTTGAAAATACAATTCAAAAATTTGCCAGTAGTCACCAACAATGATTACTCCAACATGGAAACTTTTAGATTATCCAGCTCCTCAACAATGCCAATCTAATAAGAAGACTCAAGAGAACTAGGCCTTTTGAGATAGTTCGGTGATGTTAGATTAAAACAGAGTATAGTGTGGTTAAGTGTTATATGTTAATGGTAGTGTAACTAAATAATTAGACTTATATAGTGAGTAGAATCTTAGTTTTTGAAGTTTTTCATGCCTAGATAAACTAGGTAAAAATAAAATTGATCTTAATGATTAGATTATAATAATTGTAAATGTTTATTTACTTGGAGCATTTATTAAAAAAACCTAGTTGTTTCAAAATAGTGCATTTAAAGGAATTGGTGAAAATGAAGAAATTCGCTTCTATATTTTATGAAATATTCTTTAAAACATATTTATTTATTTGCTTGTTTAAGAATCAATGTTTGAGTTTTGTGTATTTTAAATAAACATGTATATTTTTAAATGTCTTTTTTTAGTCTAATAATATATTAGGAAAAAAAATAGAATACATTTTTTAAATATTTCTATTTAATATTTCTAAAAGATTTCAAATATTCATTCCAGAAATATCACTGTGAAATATTATATTTATAGGACATTATTTTATGTTTCAAGCATATTTCAGAAATGTTTCTGGGATGTTTCGTAATATTTATACAACATTGCAAATGTTTCAATGTAACATTGTTGAAATATTTCCGAAATGTGTTTGTGCTGTATGGGAGTTGGTGTCCATCATAACACAATGATTGAGTGGTAGATCCTGTGTCAAACTTTGGGTGGTATTATTAAACTAAATTTCTACATCAAACAGAAGTACCACTTTTTAAACCATTAATGAAATCTGTTGTCTAAAGTGATTAAAGTGAATAGTTATGAAAAATAGATTGTAGTATTGTATATTATGAAAATAAAAGAAAGGCTTGAATATATTTATGAACATTCTTATGGATCTTTTTCTTTAAAATGTGTTTAAGAGTATTTTATCAATGTATTTACAGAAAAATAACGACAAGACAAAAACTTTGTGTTCAAAGATGACTATAATTTTAAATTCTTAATTTATTAAAAATAAAAACGTAATTTCGTGATCATATTAAAACGAAAATAAATGAAATATAATTTAAGATTAAACTATTATTCGGTAGGCATTTCTTGGGTAAGCTTCAAATTGTAATAACTACAAGGAAAAACAATATACATTATATTTATTTACACACACTTTGTTTAATTAATATTACAGTAATGTTTTGTTGATGGATATATACTTACAACTTCAGAAGCCTGAGGAAAGCTTTACGAAATTACACACTAAATAGTAATTAATTTAAAAACACTAAAATTTGAAAGGCTGTAAGTTTTTAATTTCATAAGCATTACTATTTAATTAATAGATTTTAAAAACAATATTCAATTTTACTTAAAAAACCCAAACACGACCCATAACCCACACAACTGAACGGAAAGAAAAGTATACACTATACAGCGTTGCCAAAATCCTTAATCCGTTAATTTCATTTGAAAACCAAAAATACGTCACTTTTTAAAATAATCGAAACTGTTTTCTTAAAGTCGTTTAGGAGGAAATATTAAAAATTGAATAGAGGGTATAAAATCATAGTATAAAATACTGAATAGTTATGCTATATAAATATATTATTTTCTACACCCATATGGATATTATTATCTTTCTATTCTACGCACATAGTACAAAATGAAAAAGTAGGCCATGCGTCCTACTGAACGAATATATTTCATATTCATTCTATAGTCTGTTTAAAAACCAGGAGGAGCGATTTGAATTTAAGTTGGCAATTCTGGAGACTTCTGATTGGTCAGATTGCAGCCAGTTTCACACATCACTTTTGCATTAAGATCAGCTGATAACTGACATTATTGACACTTCTGACATTTTATTTATATTTTTAGTTCTGTTATTGCTTTCGGTTTTTGTTTGATCTCTTATCATTATTACTTAGTTTTCCACTCTATTTCTTTAAAACACAGTTCTTTTCAGAACTTCGGTAAGCAATTGTATTGAATATCTGCGATTATGGATAATTCTACACCGAATACTGAGTACTAGTAGAGGTAGCAGTTCCTTGCGTAGTCCACCAAAACAGCGAAAACGTTTGAGTTTAGGCCATTTAAGTCTCGCAGAAAAACAGCACATAATAAATATGTACAAACAGGTATTGGATGATAAACCAAAATTGTGGATGTTGTATCCAAAATTTCTCAAGCCGCCGGTAAGTTATACCTACTCATTACTTTCAAATTAAAAATGGTATTAAATACCCAAAATTTTTTACAGGAGTTGTAAAGTCAACAGTTTACCGGGTATTAAAAGAATACCGTAAAAGTGGAACCATATCTAGTCCAAAAAATATAGGTGGAAGACCCGGACTTCTAAAAACATTTGATGAGGGGTTCAAAAATGCTGTTAGAAGATTGGTACATGATTTCTTTTTAAAAAATGAATTACCTACATTAAATAAAATTTCACAAGCATTGAAGAAACGTTTAGATTTGCCACAAATATCTCGGTCATCTTTATATACTTTCTTGAAACTTATTAACTTTAGGTAAGTTTGTAACTTTGAAAAGTCAAATGAAATGTTTATTTATTATATATATTTTTTAGATATTTGAAAAGAAATCGTCAAAGTGTATTAATAGAATGTGATGATATCTGTAGATGGAATCCGAATCTTCTGATGTTGATTAATATATTGAGTACCTGGTGTTTTTTCTTTGTTTCTATGTAAATGTCAAGATGAACTTTGGGTTTTTACTTAATATGTTGTATAGACACTACTTATGTATTTGTTCTGTTTGTGTTTTGCAAACTTATTATTAATTAAAATATTATAGCAAATTTGTAAAATAAAGATAACTACTATTCATGTTGTTTTTTTAATTCACATTTAAAAAAAAAAAAAAACTGTGCACTGTAGTACATATTATAAATTGGTCAACATTGCTTTTTGGTGTTCTAGTTAAACAAAAAAATAAATTTGTTAGTTTTAAAAATTGAGGAATTTACCTAAATGATTAAACTGTAAGTGAATATTTAAGTAATTTTTATTTATTAGAAAACAAAACCATTCACAAAATTGTCACAATAAACTTTATAGGTCTGTAAGCTTTTGAATATCTTCACCCAGCGAGCACAAAACGATCTATGAATGTAACGGCTACTTCCCCATAAAACATTGAACCCATGTGATGTACTTTTAAGGTTAAAGTAACCTCCTTATAACTGACCAAACAAAAATTTAAAATAAAAGCCTTACACACAGTTTTTTAAAACCACAACCAATGTTGAAATGTTTTAAGAGTTTTTACATTCACAAGTTCTAGATGATAGGTATAGGTGTATTATTCTAAACAATCACTATATTCTACTTATCAGAGTCATTACTATACTCTATTTACCAGGACCATATCAATGAATTTTTTAAAAAGATGTTTTAGCAGGAAATATAATCTTATGTATTTGATAAAAACTGAAGTACCTACCTATATACTCTTTTTATTAAAACACAACTCACTTAATTCTTGAACATTTATTTATTTATTTCTTAAACCCTTGAATTGAAGGATTTCTTAGAAGTAGCAGGTTTACTTCGATATACACATTACATGTATGTAACAAACAAATGTAAAAATATTCAATATTAACGTCTAATATTCGGGCCAAATCACAAATAAATGTTTCTCTGTTGATATAAAAACATCACATAATCTCCCAATTATGTTCTATGCCCTTTAAGTGTATTAACTATAAGGTAACACTAAATAAGCCACATATTCATATTACTCATGGGAGGAATTCCAGTCACTGTGTAATCCAGAGTAAAGAGTACTGTGTGGTAAAGGGGTCCAAGCCACTTAAGTTTATACCTACAACAAATGTACCTATCATTGAAATGTAAACAGATCGTATTTTTATATTTTATACTAACCTGCATCTGAATATTCTATTAACATTTTCTTAAATATTCAATATCCATTTCAAAAAGATTAAAGTTATTCTCAAAAAGTCGATTTTCAAACAAAAATATATAATATAGGTACTTATATTTATATTTCTGATAACCTATAACATCAACAAAGTCAACAGCCATATTTAATTTCAATTTTCAATTGACACTATTGACAGTTAGTTTTTGCCCAAGATCACAGAAATTTACTACCGTTGTCTGGGACCAATAAAAAGTTGACTCCTAGACATATTTATTTGTGTCTTGACCTCTCATTGGCCGTTCGCTGACTAGGACCAGTCGGACCGATAATGATAACTATTTTAGAGATTTTGAACGCGACTATTTCGGAACACGCTCTTTAGTAACTAATTTAGTTACTTTTAGTGGTGTGAGTAAGGCTTTTCGAATTACTCCTCCTGGTTTTTAAATAGACTATAGTAAGCAGGATATGAAATCCACCAATCATAGTTCATATTTGGCCAGTAATATATTTTTTTAAATTTTTAAATGTGACAATTCTGTCAAACTAATTGTCAGTATATTTTTTAGTTATTGAGATTTATATAATCAAAACTAAGTGATTCTTGCGAAAACTCGATAAATAATAGAACATTCTACAATATATTCCTCTACATTTTTAAATAAATCGTAAATTTTAATAAAATTATCTAAAATCAATTTAAATATGATGAGTATCAAAAATATACAATCAGATATGCCTTCCTAGCGCGGAGATAGAGTACTGAGATGCCATGATAAAGGTCAGTGGTTCAAATCCAGGACGTTTTTTTTTTGTGTGTGTAATCGGCTTTCAACTGCTAAGGTTATTTCGCCTCGTGTTGTGTTCTGTGTAGGCTTTGTTACTGTTTCCCAGCGCCAATTTAGGAACAGCACTGTTAATTAGAACCCAACCGTGAATGGTCGAGTGAGAAATCCAGAATTAATTTTAAATAATTAAATTAAATGAAAAAATCCCGGCCAACGGTGGGATTCGAACCTGGGACCCTTGGATTTGCAGGCAGAGACTCTACCACTGAGCCACCCACCCCCCTAAAAATATATATATATATTTTTAATAACATCTAAATTAATTTTGAAATTTTTTAGATGTTCGTTAGTAGTGGACCATGCAAATCCACTCTTGTTGCACGACCTACTATTAAGTTTCTTCAAAAAAATTTGTTGAAAAATATCCGAGGATTAGATGACCAATGAAAAGGTATCTTGTCCCGACCGTTTTGCACAAAATTTTCAAGAAACCAGAACAATGAAACCCACTATGAAAATTCAGAATATTTGTTAATAAATTCGAAGAACTCTGGCTACATTGGAATAACCATAACACCCACTTGTTTTTGACATACGAGGCATGTTCGAGTATTATTACACTTTTTACACGATGCGATTCGTTTATGCCTCTAACAATCCATTCCACTCACCGTTGTTCCGAAATTAAAACTATTTAAAACAATTTTATACCGTGATTAGTGAAATTCACGTAATCAGACATTAAATTATTGCAAATATGTTTGTTCTCTGTCAAAAAAACGTTGGAAATTAAAAAATAAAGAAATCTAAAATACGAATGTTGAGTTTGACGAGATTGAGAACACAGTCAGAGACAACATGTCTCTGACACAGTTATGTACTGCTGCGTTTGAGAATCCACATCGGATGCATCTGAGATGTAAAAAATCTTTGATCACGTGATTCAGTATACGTAAATGTAATGGGACAGATGTGTCCGATGTGGATAAAAAAACGCTCGAGATGTAAAAAATGCATCCGATGTGGATTCTCAAACGCGGCAAATGTAATGGGACAGATGTGTCAGATGTGGATAAAAAAACGCTCGAGATGTAAAAAATGCATCCGATGTGGATTCTCAAACGCAGCATAAATAAATCAATTATAGGTGCGTTTTAATCATCCGCTTCTGCTTCGGAATTGTCAGTTTTCTTGTTTTAATCTGACAGGTTAAAACGACTAAACCGACAATTCCGGAAGCAGAAGCGGATGATTAAAACGCACCTGATATAAAAAGAGACACTAGCTTTGACCTTGATTTTGACAGTTGCATTCATATTTATTCTAACCTATAAAATGGTTTCACATTTTTATCGTAAATAATTGTAAACCTATTTTATTCTAATATTTAGCGATAAGAAAAATATTATTGACTTCTTGACATGCTCGTTATCAAAATCCAGTTTTGTGTTTAACCTCTAAAAGTTTTCAGTAAGCATATCACCGACAATAGTACACATTTGAAATATATTTCTTTTAGATTTTTTAAATTAAAATGGGTGGAAAATATACAAAATTAGATCCCATGCAGGTTGAAGTACCAGAAATCGAAGCTTTACTTAACAGAGATTCTTATTTGAGGCCCTACGAACGGGAAATTAGGAGAAGGTAATAATTTAAACTTGACATTGAGAAGGTCAACTTTTTTTTTTAATAATTTTTACTTGTTTAAGCGATATTTAGTATTTCTTCTCAATGTCTTTATTGCTTTTAGAACAGTTCAATTTCTTTTACATAGAAAGTGCTACTTCACAATTATAATGAATGTTCTTTTAGATATGCTTGTTTCAAAGATATTGAAGATTCAATAGAAGAAAATGGAGGTGGTTTGGATAACTTCACAAAGGCCTACAAATATTATGGCATCAATATCCAACCTGACAATACCATAATTTGCAGGGAATGGGCTCCTGGGGCAAAACAGTTGTTTTTGGCTGGAGATTTCAGTAAGTATATTACTTATGTTAAAATACAGCTAATTAGATAAGTTGAGTTAAATGAAGTATCTCAAATAAATATAAAATATAATTTGAAATAGCCCAAGTTAGTGATTTTAATTTTGTAACATTTTAATTTGTTTGTAGATGGTTGGAATAGAGACAGCCACCCTTACAATAAAATGGAATATGGCAAATGGGAGTTAATTTTACCACCTAATGGAGATGGATCACCAGCAATTCAGCATTTATCAGAAATAAAGGTTTCTACATTTTTTACTTTCAAAATGATTTAATGGCCTTTTCTGTAAAAATTGTAATATAAACAGTATGCTTCCAATAGAAACATGTTATAAATTCTATTTTGTAGGTTGTAGTACAAAATTGGGAAGGACACAAAGAAGATAAATTATCTCCTTATGCCACATATGTAGTTGAGCCTCCTAAACATGAAGGAACAATTTACAAGCAGAAATTTTGGAATCCCCCACAAACTGAGGTATCAGATTTTGCTTATTCTTATTGTTCATTCATAATTTTTTTTACTATTTATGCTATATTTATAGCATTTTTTGTTTAAAAATAGTGAAGTTTTTTACATTAATATAAAAAGTGCACTGGTTTTAATTTTATATATTGACACTATACAGGGTGTAAATAAAAGCGTATATTATTCAAACAGGTAACAGAATGGACTAAAATAAACAAAAATCAATCTTAATAGTAACAGTTTCGAGGTATGGTAGGTTATTTATTTTTTGAAACATTTAGTTGCCATGGAAAAGGATAACCCAATTTTACAGTAGAATGGAAAAATATATTTTATGCTATAGATTGTTCAAACAACCAAGAAAAATAACTAATTAGCTTCCTCACATACACATACTAATGAACATAAAAATATGTACATAGCTATTATGTTCAAGCAATTTTATTTAAATATGTTTTTACTTTCTACTGTAAAATTGTGTGTTTTGTAGATGTGCTCTTTTCCAAATAACCGATTAAAGGCCGATTCTCATGATCTGCTCACAATCAAAGATGTGAGGTAGTATTTATTTATTCACGAGTAACCCCATTTAAAAAACATAATACAATAATAAGTAGAATACTAACAGACAAAATAAATACTAAATTAAGTACTACACTAAATACTAAAGATAAGGATAATACAAATTGTAATGGCATCAAAAAACAATAAGAAAAAGAAAAATTAATTAAAACAAAATGAAGACATACAATGTTAGATTTCAGTATTATTTAAATATACTCTGAGAGCATTAATAGTTCCAAAAGTATCACCATTTTTACATTGCAACTTATTACATGTATGTAACATTCGACTTACTGACAAAATAAAAGCATAATTAGTGGTATGTAGTGGTATATTGAATAAGTCAAATTGTCTGGTTCTACTAAAGGTATTAAAATTGATAAGATTTAATAATTAAGGACAATCAATGTTGCATGTTATAAATTGTATATCAGAAACTGTTCTTCTAGTTTCAAGTGATTTCAAGTTCAATTGAGAATTAATTATAGCACATATTACACTCAACTGATGCTCATTTTAATATTTTTAATCAGTTATATGAAAAGCATCGACACATGCCTATTGTATAATAAACAAATTATAACTGATTTAGCCGCAATTACAATATGTTTAGATGATGAAGAACAACACAAGAAGATATGTGTTCATGATATTTTAAGAAAACATAAAATTAAGAATGTTTCACTCTATATCAAGGCCTTGTAGATGACATATTTTTGTATGACAAAACATACATTTCAGATTTGATAAAGCAGACTACATTTTGGGAGGCAATTTCGCGGCTAGAGAATAGAAAAGCTATGGCTAATCTGATTGTTGTTTGTACACACTGATGCAAAGGTCCACTCATGGTTTGTTCAAAATATCCGCCTGGAAAAATACTGCGGTCAAAGATCATGAGCGTACTGTAAGCCAGACATTAAATATGAATATTTCCATTTAAATAGCATGTCACAATATTACGTCATGCTTTGAATGTTTGGCTATATTGAGATTTGTGGGAAAATTCAATTTTGACATACCCACACGTCAGCTCAATACATATGGAAGATATGAGAAGTTGTTTTACTGCATGTAGTTCTAAAACACCTTAAGTTATCGACTTAGGGGGTGTTGGATGTTTGAAATATGACTTGGAGTGTTTTCTTAATAACTGATTCAGTTATTAAAAACAAATTTACATAATATGTTCAAAGAGCTCTCCTTCCATTTTCATGCATGCATGACCTCTTTTTCTGAAGGATATTCCAACTCTTTCTAAAACTCCCTCATTGGCTCTCATTTGTTATCATTTTTTATTAATTCGTAGCTGCAGCTCCTCTAGGCTATTTACAGGAGTAACATAGACTGTTTTCAAAAAATCCACAAAAAAAAAGAAATCTAGAAGGTTTAAGTCAAGTGATCTTGCAAAATAAAAAGGAGGTAAAAAAGAACCTTCTATATCGCCGAAACCATTACTTTGTCGAACCTTGTTTATTATGACATTTTTATTTTAGGCCATACTGTTACCTCTTTAAATATTTTACACTCTTTTTTTATTTATTTAAAAACTTCTAACATTTAAGCTCTCCCTTTTAGAGGTATATATTCAAACACAAAAAAGTTACAAGACCCAAAAGTCTTAGAATCTACGAGTGTCATGTTGGAATTGCTACTCAAGAACTCAAAGTTGGTACATATGATAATTTCACAGACAATGTCCTTCCTAGGATTGTCAAACAAGGCTACAATTGCATCCAATTGATGGCCATTATGGAACATGCTTACTATGCAAGTTTTGGATATCAGGTAATTTCACTTTATCAATACAAAATACAATAATATTATGAACAATTAAGTAAAATAATTTTATTTTCTTGAAGATTTTGATATAAAACTGCTCTATACCATATTAATGTTTTTTAAGGTTACCAGTTTTTATGCTGCCTCAAGTAGATATGGAACTCCAGAACAATTAAAACGTTTGGTAGATAGAGCTCATGAACTTGGTCTTATGGTCTTGTTAGATATTGTACATTCACATGCCAGTAAGAATGTCATGGATGGTCTCAATGGGTTTGATGGAACTGATGCAGGTAAGGACTGATCATACATATTTAATAATAAATTCTATCTATGCAATACACTTTTTGTGAAGTTTACTTGAATTAGTGAAAGAATATGAACATAACTTTCTTGTTATTTATTAAATATATCCAAAACAAACCAAATCATATTTATAGATAGATTCTTTATTTTTTTTATTGTAGTACGATAATCTAATATACAATAATAGACAAAATAAGATGCCTAAAAAGTAAAAAAAAATAAAAAATAGCTCACAAAACCCGTTTAAAAATTTTGTTACATACGTAAAAAAAAATTTTAAATCTCATCAAAGCAGCCTTAAAATCGTTAAATAAAAGAACAAAAATGTACACAATGTTAAAAGAGAGGTTAAAATGAAATTTAATTTTTTTTAACTTTCTAATTAATTCCTCTCTAAGTCCCTGGTAGTTCATTGTTTATTATATTCTTTGAAACCTTTAATTAATAAAGATGCCTTTGAATTAGAATAATTAAAGGTGGATTCATAAAGTACATTCAGTTCGCGTTCAGTTCGAGTTCGACATAAACAGAGCAGAATGACACGGTAAGTATGTTTCGGATAAGAAATTATAACGGATTCATAATTATTTTATAACCAACACCATCTACAAATATAATTAAAACAAAAATAACACCAAAATATAATTTAATTTTGTGGAATTTGTGGTTATGTCTTGCCAACTCGAACTGAACGTAGTTTATGAATCCACCCTAACTCTTAATGTAAATATTATCTTGTGTTATAATCATGAATATCACTATAACAAATAAATTGTTGAAATAGTGGGGCTAGGATTGAATTATTTTGTAAATAAAACATCATATAGTAATACAACCTTTGATGCACCGAACACCATTGAAGAATAATATAATCTTGTTTGTTTTCTTGTTGTTTTGAAACATACTATTTATTTTATTGATAGGAAAAATTATTTTTGAACACAATTTGTAACGGTAAGTAAAAGAGGTGCTACTAACACAATTATAAGTAGAATTCTTGAACAAAAGCAGTTTTCTTCTAAAAAAACTACTTTATAAGTGCTATTTTTCACGCCCTCACATAATTCTAAATTTTATTTTAACCTTTTTTTAACCATAAAACGCGCCAAAAACTTCTCAATCTTCTTTTTTTGCTAGTGTATAAACCTTTAACCTTATAACTATCTGGCCTCTTCAAAGGACTGGTACCAAAAGTTTGTACAGCCAGGTGCTTTAGTTAATTTTATTAGTAGGGTTACTAGGGTTATGTGTAAATAGGCACATACTTTGATTACTATACGGTGCAAGAGAGAGGTCCGACACGCCTAACATAGGGCGCGGCACATACTTTGATTTTCTTTTATTATACGGAGAATGATCGCACTGCGCAGCTTTCTGAGTGCCTTTTAAAAGGAGATAGAAAACTCCGCCATTTTGAACCCTTATTACGTGTTGCCTACATCTTGGCGCAATATTTTTAATAGGTGCGTTTTAATCATCCGCTTCTGCTTCGGAATTGTCGGTTTTCTTGTTTTAATTTGACAGGTTAAAACGACTAAACCGACAATTCCGGAAGCAGAAGCGGATGATTAAAACGCACCTGATATTTTGCTTGCTGCTGTCAGTGTCAGTGAATATTATTGAGTCACAGTTTATTGCTAAAGAATCAGTTAGCTCGCTCGGACCAGTTGAAAATTCCAAAATAACATCCACTCCAGGGATACAAATTCAGGATACGCAGAAGACTGCTGTTTTATTATAGGCGGTTGTCATATATTGTATTATCCGAGTTGCGCAGTGTATAAACTGGAACATTGAGATCAAAAGTGCCGACGCAGAGTGAGCGACCCCACTGAACTATATATTAAACTGGAAGAGAAGAACAAAGCCGATCAACAAAATCAAGCTACATAGCGAGGCGATATTTGACACTCTGGCGCCCACACATGCGTATCGAAATAAACTAAAAGGGAACATCAGAATTAAATTTAACACTTATTACATTCAACTGCGACACCTTTTAATTTAAGAAAATCACTTAAAAATGATTTTTGATTAATACGCAGCTGAAATAAATGTTCCAACAATAATAATTATTAAAATAGCGCGTTATTAACAAAAAAACAATATAACTTACCGTAGTACGCTCGTGGGAAATGTGACATAGAATGCTCGGAATTGACAGTCTGGCGTCCAAATTGTCATGCGCACTAAACGGATTTTTTCACCCATGTCGGCTTAGAAATTAGAAATAGGGTTTATGTGATATATGCTTTGAGAATCCAGATCGGATGCATTTTTTACATCTCGACCGTTTTTTATCCACATCGGACACATCTGTCCCATTACATTTACGTATACTGAATCACGTGATCAAAGATTTACTACATCTCAGATGCATCCGATGTGGATACTCCACGCTCCGAAGCATGAACACATTTTGACTCTTTAAAATAATCACGGATTATTCCGGATACGAAACCAGAACACAAGACAGGGATTCTTATGTGCGTACCCAACACGTAACGAATTGAATAGAGAAAGACATTACATACGAATCGCATTCTGTGGAACGAAGATAGTCGTCTCAACACGTGCCGAATTAAAAGGTGAGAATCCCAATGCTGTGCTACCCTTTCGATGCAAAGGAAAATATCTAATAAACAGAAAAAGCCCGTATGTTAATAGGTCAATCCAGATACGGACTTTACATTTTCAAAACATTTAATGTTGAAAAATTTCTTTGTATATTTATTAAAGAGAGCTCTGAATTATATAATTGATGACGTCAAATTAGGGTAAAGTCACATTAGATATCCAGATAAATGAAAACGAATTTTTATTTTTAAATTAACCAATCAATAATAAAGAGGATAAACAGGTACTAAAATACCGACCGCTAGATCATATCTTTTCTAATCTCTTTGGAGAATTTTTTTTTAAATACCTATTGTGAAAATGGCAAGGAAAAAAACCATCTCGTTCAACAGTAGAGCGTTGGATAGGTGATTTTCCAGAATTGGAATTTAATGGTTTTGAACTTTTTTTGTAGAACTTCTGACACAGTAGTATTGTGTAAAATGAAATCTCATGTTATACAGAATGTTAAAACGCACAAGCATAAAGCTCGCTCTAGTGGAAACGTAAGTAATAGAGAACGTCAAAAACAATTTAACTTAGATTTAGTTAAAATTATGGTAAATTGCAACATTCCGTGGACCAAATTAGATAATCTCGAGTTTAGACAATTTTTACAAAAGTGTAATCATGGAAACTACAACAATGTTAATGTACCTGCAGAATCAACTCTAAGAGTAAACTATTTATCTCTAGTGTGTATATTGTTAGGGTTCATAATAATATTTGTGCGCGTAAAAACTATTTATTACTACCAACAGCTACAATTATAAATGCTGCGTTTGAGAATCCACATCGGATGCTTTTTTACATCTCGAGCGTTTTTTTATCCACATCGGACACATCTGTCCCATTACATTTACGTATACTGAATCACGTGATCAAAGATTTACTACATCTCAGATGCATCCGAAGTGGATTCTCAAACGCGTCAAAAGTATTGTCAGGTCGATGCTCTCGGCTAACTGACATCTCACAAGACCCAGCCTGGTGTGATTTACCACCATTGCCAAATCTCCCATTACTTTAACCTGACAGAACAGTGTGCAAAGAAATCAGTTCAGAATTGAATGGCAAACACTTATGGGTTTGTGTTGATGAAACTATGAGATATATAAAGAACGTGTCTTGCTGGCAGCAGGTCTACTCCAAACGCATATAAAAATGTATTACACGTGACATGTTTGTTACGTGGCCTCCACAGCGTCGCTGAAACTGTTAGCGACTGTTATCCGAATGTAAATAAGTTAATTTCCGCTGTCAAGAAAGTATTTTTAAAATCGTTATGCACGAAATTGTTTAAAGAAAATCTTCCGCTTATTCCACTACCACCATGGCCTTATGTGACATGTTGGGGCACATAGAAACAGGCAGAAATATACTATTATGCTAATTTTGATGACGTGAAACGTGTGGTACATGAACTTAATCCAAATGATGCAATATCTATAACCCATGCATACGAAGCCTTTTCAGATCCAATTATTTGGGATGACTATATACATGCGCATTTCTCCAGAATCCCTTTAACACTTTAATGGAAAGTGATGCTGATCGGCGTCTTCGCTGACGTGCCAAATGTGGCAGGACACCGTCCGGCGTTCAAATTAATATCGCTGATAAACGAAGGAACGTCTTTTGACATCCCAATTCCCATATACAAAATGTGAGGGGAGCATGTACGAGTATTCTGCCAAATTTAAGACTGATTACATTATAATACCGCCGTTTTTATAGGGTCATAATTTTGTTAAATGTGACATCCTCAGCGTGTTTTTTGTGTATGTGCAGAGACAACTAATGAGACGGTTAACTCAATGCAATTTTGCTTTTCACCAAGAATTGACGATTGGACTGGAAGATAAGGCCGATGGCGCTGGTATACCTTGTGTTTTAATAGTGGCCTTTTTCTTTATAAGCAACCGGTCAAATTATAATTTTTTTTAAAAAAGAAGAACCGCGGGAAATTCAAATATGTAGATCCACTTTATCTATTATTTTTATGATTTTTTTTCTGATTTGATGCACTGGAAATGTGAATAAATATGTAATTCACATTTACTAGCACATCAAATAAAAAAAAAAAAATCATTTTTTTTAGGCACACAAAATAAAAAGCATTAAAAAGGAAAATAAAACGAAGTATGATTTCAATAATAAGATATATTCTGTATTAAACAATAATAAACATTCCCACCACAAAGGTTCTACAATAAAATTGAAATACTTACTTTACGGAAATTAAACAAAATCCCGGCGTGATCCGGGCATTGTTAGTTCCTTCGGGTTTGTAAACAAACTTAAAACTACCTAATATGAAAACACCACGATAAAAATGTCATTTACCGGGGAAAACACTAAACTAACAAAT